GTGTGTAGGTAGTAGGTAGGTGCACCCATGTGGTGCAATGCCCACAGAGGTCAGAAGAGGACATCAGATTCCCCTAGAACTGGAGTTATGGGTTGTTAGTGCCATGTGGGTGCTGGGAATCAAACCCAGGTCAGAGCAGTCAGATTTTATGTGTATGAGTGTATTGCCTGTGTGTAGGTAGGTGCACCCATGTGGTGCAATGCCCACAGAGGTCAGAAGAGGACATCAGATTCCCCTAGAACTGGAGTTATGGGTTGTTAGTGCCATGTGGGTGCTGGGAATCAAACCCAGGTCCTCTGCAAGAGCAGTCAGTGCTCTTAACCACTGAGTCATCTCTCCAGCCCCGAATCTGTGTAAGTTCTATGTCCACTGCACTGCTCAGTCCAAGCCCCTGCCACACTTGTCCAGGCTGCTGCAATGCTCCCTACGTGTTTTCCCTGCTTCTTCACTTTACTGCATGGCAAAGAGAGGCTCTTCTATAGATGTAAGCCACATCACTGCATCCACATCCAAAGCTTTCATCATAGCATTCAGCGTAATTAGAGCGAATCCAAAACCTTACCGTGGCCTGGCACATAATTGACCCCACTCACTGTGCTCTGGTCTGTTCACTGCTGCTACAACAATCAAACAGGCTTGCACCTAGAGGCTTGAGCCTTACTGTTTCTTTTGCTTAGGACATGCTTCTCATTATCTGGATCTCAATATCGGAATCCCTTCCTCAGAGAGACCTCTCCTAAGCATCCAGGGTTGGAGCACCCAGCCAGCCTCACCTTGGCTCTTTCTAGTTTCCATAGCATTTATCACTGTCTGATATCCCTGCTCATCAGTATGTTCACTGGCTTATTATGTATCTCTGCCACCATAATGAAAGTCCATGAGATCTGGAAGCTCACCTGTCTTGTTCACTGCTGAATCCCTGGGGCCTGATTTAGAGTCAACATTTAATGGCAGAATAGAGGAAAAACAAAATCAGTGATAAAGCTAGCCTTGAACCCAGATCTGTGACACCCCCAGTTGTCTCCTTTTCCCATTCCTGAGGGATAAAAGGAACCTGAGGTTGCTTTGAAATGAAGGTCAACCTACCTCTTCGCAACAGCCACTCACGCACAGTGTCAGTGACATCAAAAGACAGCCACTCAGCAGTGCCCCGAGTGGGCAGATTCTTGCCGCCGATATAGCGCTGCTTAGCAATGTGCTCATCAGGTCGAAGTATCTACAGGGCAGAGAAAGGAATGAGTACTTAAGGCCAGGACAGGGCACCAGGGATAGGTCCTAAAGCACAGGGCAGGTGAGCAGAACAATAGCCAGTCAAAGGCTTCTAAATGCCATGCCCTTTGTGCACCTCAGGGAACTCGGTCCTCTTAATGACAGAGGAATACAGAGACTGAGGCTCTTAGAAGCCAGATCCAGACCCAAGTCTATCAAACCCAATGCCCAGTGGAGGCCAGACATGGTGGAGGTGCTGGCTTCCAATGTGTAGTTTCTGGCTGGAAGAGGTACCTGGAAGAGCTCAATCCTCTGCTCCGTGCGCTTGGAGCTGGGGTTGGGCACCCTCAACACCCGAAACTCTGCCCGGAACAGATTGGTTCCATTTTTCTCCACTGAAGACACATTGAAGCGGAAAACCTTGGAGGTAATTCCTTTGGGGCAGACGGCCAGCTCATCTAGAAGACAAAGCAATGAAGAGAGGTATAGTGAGGGAACAGCATGCTGCCAGTAGACAGGTGCCAAGTGGCCGCAGTCCTACCTGGAACCTCCCTGGAGGCTTGAGACCTCAGACCTGAAGGTGGAGACACAAGAAAGATTCTGGGTGACCCAGCGTCATACAGAGTCCTAAAAAAGGAACAGAGTGACCTTGGAGCAGCCCCAGAACATGTCACTGAGACTGGACAGTCATGTATAATTGTCCCTTCCTCCCACTATCTTGATACCTCAAAGCTGCTAAGCTCTCCAAACAAGTTTTCTTAATATTTCAGAAAATACAGATTCTTAGTCAGGCCTGGTAGCACAGGCCTTAATGACAGCACTTGGGAGGCTGAGGGGGGAAGGATCATGAATATATATATTGGCTGGAGAGATGCTCTGCAGTTAAGAGCATTTGCTGCTCTTCCAGAGGACCCAAGTTTGATTCCCAGTCAGAAAGCTCATAACCACCTATAACTCCAGCTCCAGGGGATCTGACACCCTCTTCTGGCCTCCATAGGTACCTGCACATGTGCGCATATATATATATATGTGTGTGTGTGTGTGTGTGTGTATGCATACACATAAATAATAAAAATAAACATACATAGAGCAAATACTATGAGCCAAGCATGGTATTACTGATAGGAAACCACAGTCCTGCTTTCCAGAGGATAAGTGTTGGGGTGAGGTGACATGGACCCAAATTATAAGACCAGAGAGAGCCTTTGGTGATACTGAGGCGTGGCAGCTAGAAATGAGGAGGGAACAAGGCCGGTACTTCATGGAAGGGGTGACATCAATCTGCCTTGCAAGAGGACGAGCAGAAGATGAGGGGTGGGCAAAGGAACTGTACATGGAGGGACTGCTTGAGGCAGAGGCAGGGAGGAGAGAAAATACGGGAGAGAAAGAGGGACACAGCTACAAGGCTGCAGCCCAGTGGAAGAATGTTGAGACAGTATACTGGGGGCTACCTGTAGGGAGACGCACGTGTTGGACTCAGAGACTGGACTTCATGCCATTGATACTAGGGAGCTACAGAAAGTGTTTGAACAGCATGGTGACACAATCAATACTATGACTTAGACCTAACTGGAAGGAGGTTTATATGGTAAGGACTCCACATCTTGTGTCTTTTCTTCAATCCGAAAGATCTAGCTACCTTCAACTCCTTTCTCTTTAAGGGTCTCTATCATTGACAGCACATGCTATGTCAGCCTGTGTCACCCTACCAGTCTCTTCATTCCTGCCCAGAAGGTAACAGATGCTCTCCAAGGCTTCAAGTCAGACAAAGGAGAGCAAAGGCCTCTGTCTTTCCTCTGCTCCTGTGTCCTTTACAACCTATTACAAGGTCTGAGAGTATTAATACCCAGAGAATACCTTTCTACACAAATGGTAACAATAGCCAGGACTTGAAGTTCAAGCTCCTGAACCTAGATTCCACATATAATGGGCATCGCTGGAATGAGCTCATAAGCACTTGGAGGGGTGGGTTAGGAAGTTACAGACAAGGCAGGATAGATCAGAGACTGGAAACCAGCAAGCATGCTCCTGATCCTGGAAAGGATGAGTGGGAGTTTCTGGAAATTGCCATCTGGTGGGCCTGACACTGGTTGTTAAAGGAAAATTAATGGAACAGATGTAGGAAACAAATGCGTGAATATCAGCTAATGAAGCCCTGATAAATAATTGGCCTGGAAGGAACAAATAGTGCCAATTATTCTCAAAGTCAGTCCAAATAGACCCAGAGAGCAGAATCAGTGATAGCCGTTTTCACATGCATATGTTCCAGGAGCTGCTGGGGATAGAACCCAGAGTCTCTCATACACAAAGCACACATTTAAAAGAGATTTTTTTTTTTTTTTGGTCTTTTTGAGACAGGGTCTCCCTGTAGCTCTAGCTGTTCTGGAACTCACTAGGTAGGCCAGGTTGGCCTTGAACTCACAGAGATCCACCTGCCTCTGCCTCCCAAAGTACTGGGATTGAAGGCATGTGCCACCACGCCTGGCTTAAAAAAAAAACGTTAGCTTTAGTTTTAATTATGTGTATATGTGTGTCTATGTGTGGGTTTGTATACATGAGTTCAGGGTCTAGGAAGCCAGAAGAGGGTGTTGGATCCCCTGGAGCAGTAGTTACAGGTAGTTGTGAGCCAGTTGATGTAGATGCTGGGAACCAAACGCAGGTCCTCGGCAAGAGCAGCATACATTCTTAACTCCTGAGCTGTCTTTCCAGCTCCACAAGACACACATTTTCTAACTGAGCTGCATCTCCAACCCAAGTGATAGCAATTTCATACATAAGTTTATAAATTTGTAACTTGGGATATGGATAAGCTACTTGGACAGATGATCCTCTCAATGACTTGAAAGAATTGGGTTTTGAAGAAGAGGTCATCAATCTGGCCTCTGCAGTAACTGTCTGCAAGGGAGCCTCAAGGGGAATCAGGGCAATGCGCACCTTGCTAGAAAAAGGTGGAGGGGAGTAGAAAATGGTACCTAAGTGGGGAGGGCCAGAGCAGGGTGGACGCAGTGGGCAGCCAGGAAACGGAAGGTGTACACTGAGAGAGTTCTCAGGACACCCTGATATGGTATCCACCTTTCTTACTGCCCATCACTCATATACCTTCGCTTCAGGGTAGGTCCTCATAGTGAAAATTTTAAGGTGCTATCAAGAAAGTGGGGAGGGTCATTTTCCATTATTGGATCTATAGATTTCTGACAGTATTGGAAAGACATTAGGAGTCATTCATTCATTCTATGTGACCTTCCTCAGATTAAAAAAACAACCAATGTGGGGGCTGGAGAAATGGCTAAGTGGCTAAGAACACTGGCTGTTCTTGCAGAAGATCCGGGTTTGAATCCCAGCACCCACATGGCAGCTAACAACTGTCCATAACTCCAGTTCCAGGGGATCCAATGGCCTCTTTTGTCCTCCGTGGGCATTGCACAACATGGGTGCACTTACCCTATGTGCAAGCAGGCAATACACACCCGTAAAATAAAATTTAAAAAAACAATGTTTTAAAAAGTCCTGACCAGGGTCACACATGAAGTAGCTGACACAAACGAACTGGCACTCTCAAAACAAGACATGGCTGCAACCGTTAGTGACTATGAAAGAACTCCTGGGGGCTGGAGAGATGACCAGTGGTTAAGAGCACTGACTGCTCTTGCAGAGGACCAGAGTTTGCTTCCTAGCACCCACATGGTGGCTAATAACCATCCATAACTTCAGTTCCAGGGGATCTGACACCACCTTCTGGCCTCTTCAGGCACTGCATGCATGGGTGCACTTACATACATGCAGACAAAAAACACTTATGCATATAAAATAGAAATTAAAAAGTAAAGAAGAGTTCCTGGGCTGGGAAGCAGCAGAGTGGCAGAGTGCTTGCCCAGCATGCATGAGACCCTGGATTCAATCCCCAGCACCATCCAAATGCAAATAGACAAAGAATTCCAGAGATCTAGAAATGTAATAAGATTGCCTCAAATATACCAGGGGCTGGAGAGATGGCTCAGCAGTTAAGAACACTGACTGTTCTTGCAGAAGACCTGGGTTCAAATCCCAGCACCCACATGGCAGCTAACAACTGTCCTTAACTCCAGTTCCAGGGGATCCGACCGTCTCTTCTTGTCCTCCTTTGGGCATTGCATGACACAGGTGCGCTTATCTACATCCAGGCATAGCAATCATACACATAAAAATAATAAAATATTTTTTAAATTAAATATGCCAAATAATCATGTTCTAAGACAGGCATGGTGGCACACACATGTAATCCTAGCACTTGGAAGCAGGAGCATCAGGAGTCTGAGGCCATGGGCTGGTAGGATGGCTCAGTGGGTAAAGGAGCTTGTTGCCAAGTATGATAACCTGAGTTGGATCCCCAGGACACATACAGAAGAAGAGAAAGACTTCTGAAAGTTGTTCTCTGTGTGGCACACATACAAATAAATGTAATTAAAATTTTTAAAATGACTCAAGTCTGAGGCCAGTCTGAAGTAAGGCCCTCCTATGTAAAAAAAAAAGAAAAGAAAGAAAAAGCAAAAGCTTAAGCTAACTAGTAGACTGAATTAAAGTGTACAAAATAGCTGGGTGTGGTGGCGCACGCCTTTGACCCCAGCACTCCGGAGGCAGAGGCAGGCAGATCTCTGTGAGTTCAAGGCCAGTCTGGTCTACATAGTGAGTTCCAGAACAGCTGGGGCTACAGGGAGATCCTGTCTCAAAAAAAAAAAAGTGTACAAAAGAAATAAGCAAAATATGTAATGTACTGCCTTACATTTTATAGAGTCTTTATTAACTTGTCTGCCCCTAACAACACCTGAGAATAAAGAGAATATATAAAATTTATGTTAGGAATAAGAACATAGAACATCAGAAAAGCCAAGTGACAGTCCCATGTCACTTGAGTGGTAGGTGGCAGAGGTGGGGTTTGAACCCAGCTGGAATTTAACTATATCCCATTATTGAAACTGAGACCCTGGGAGATTACCCAATGGAAAAATATTAATAGTTTCATCAACAAAATGTGGGAGGATTCCTCAAAACAGCCCTAGCATCCAACATTACCTCAGACCTGAGTCAATGACCAGAGGCTTTGTGCCTAAGCTGTGCTTTTACCACCAAGAGCTGGGTGTGGGGGTCTGCTATTACAAATTACATTCTGACCAACTGTTTCCACACAAAACTATATAATGATGGATACCCTTCTCTGTATTTTGCTTTAGGAAGTAAATAATACCCCCTTACCCCAACCCCTGCAAAATGCACGCACAGTATTCATGGAAAACCCAGGACATCACATGCTTAACTAACTGCCTCTTACAATGTTTTCAGACACCTGGGCTGCCAGGTGTGCCTTGGCCTGCATGCCTCGTTTTTGTTGGAGTCAGTGAAGGAGCAGTTCCTGACTGAGCGACAGAACCACCTGAAGAGTGTTTAAAGCCAGTGAACTCCTTCCCCACTGCCCAGTGACTGATTGTACTGGGTGGGTCCTCAGCAGTTTTTTTCAAGTTCTCCAGATGATCCTCCTGTAGTCAGGAGGGAGAAACATAGTTTATCATTTTCTGCTAAAGGTACCATGGCTTTAAATGTGCTGGAAGCCTGAGAAAGCACTGCCTGGATGGTTTTAAACGTTACATGGATTAACCCTGAAATGAATCTGATGTGTTGTTTAGCCAGTGTTTAAAAGTTTTGAATTAGACGCCAATAAACATTTTAAGCCTGTGTTACAAGTTGGGAGATTTCACAGAAACTTCCAGATTTTTTTTGCTCTCCTGGGACATGATAAGATATAGTCAGGCTGGACCTACATTCCTGAATACAAAATCAGCAGGGCTATGCTGTGGCTTCCTCTTCCAGCAGGTCACTGAGGCTCTAGGTCCCTCCCTCCCCTTGCCACATGCACCTACTTTCTCCATGACCCAGAGTACACAGTGTCCTGTGTGTTTTCTAATGGTGCCTGGGCCGTGGTTGTTGTTCTAGAATCATCTGCATCTGCTACCTGGTCTCTGAAGGCACTTGGATTTGCAGCCCCTCTAAGGAAACTCTTTGCCCCTGGATCACTGCATCCTGAGATTATTGAAACACAAGTTCCCAAGGATGACCCCCTATAACCCTTATTCTTTAAGGGAGAGATAGGACCTGGGTTCCATCTGGGCTCCCCTTGGAGAACTGCTGCCCTACTGTGTGCATAGCATTGATACCTAGGACATTTGAATTCTTTTAACATGAAATATCTTTTACTTTTCAGAATGAACAAAATCTACAGGTAACAGGAAATAAAGGCCAAAACACCAGCTTTTCTTTCTGTTGGGGAATTCTGAGTTTGCTGCTTGATTGAAAAACAAAAACAACCCCCCCAAAGAACCCCCCAAAACAAAAGTCTCCCACTAGACACAAATAATTCTAAGCCAGAAGATGAAAACGATGCCTACTCTGATAGCATCTTTGAATGATAAAGGCATGAAAAGATTGGGGACTGGAGAGATGGTTCAGTGGTTAAGAGCCCTTGCTACTCTTGCAGAGGACCCGAGTTTGGTTCCCAGTATCCACATGGCAACTCAGCCTTCTGAAACTCCAGTTCCAAGGAATACCTTGGACAAATGTGGTGCACATACATACATGTGGGCAAATACTCATACACATTAAAATTTTTTAAAATTATTTAAAAGAATTGAAAAGATTGTATCCTTCCCCACCACGAGTCATAGAAAGCACCCACTTACCTCCAATGACAAAGTCCTACCGAATTATAAAATTATGGAGTTTTAACCCATATTCCCCAGCAGATACCCAGGCCAGTCATCCCAGATGCAGTGACAAAATTCTTTCAAAGTGAAAGAGAGCTGAGAGATCACCTCACATGAAGAAACCAAGAGTCAGAGAAGCAACTTCTTCTGGCTGTGCTTGCTTAACCTGATTAAGACTCTCTTAAAAATAAAGGAAATCCTTTCGTTGACTTTGGGAGAATATTTGTGGTGTACGAATGTCCTGCCCCAAGCAGTAGGCAGAGCTAAGAACAAATCCAGTTATCCCCACATAATCTGCTACTGTGTGACAAAGGCGATAACTGCTGTCACTTCCTGGTTGGGTTAACTTAGGATTCGTCTGTATCATCAAGTTCTGCTAGAGCCTAACCTCTACTAGAGGTTAAATGTGGACCTAAAATGTACATTTTGATATGCACATTGCTGCTTAGTAGCATGCATTTTGCACATACCCTGTCTAGGTAAGAGCTCTTCTGGGGCAAATTACTTAACCGATTTCCCATGACAGGGCAGAGGCAGAGGACAGCTCTCTTTGCTCTTTCTTTGGTACCCCATCTCCCACAAGAAACTATTCTTTCCTCTATTTATCCTCTCTAGGGACCCCTGCCACCTTGCCCCATCTCCTATTATCACCTCCCTCCAGCTGCTCATCCACTAGGTAAAGGTGGTAACAGGAAGTGACAAAATGTGGAAGTGAATGTCATCTCTTGTCTCATGAGCCAGCCCCCAGCAGAAGCTCGAACCTTCTGCTAAGCAGCTGCTACTGCCTTCTTTGTACTGACTGTGCCTTGTGTGTCCAGGGTGAGCCAGCACCTGAGCAGCTGCAGGCTGGGCCCAGATGGCTGTCTGTTCAACCTCCGGATCACCTGTACCAGCTGCAGAGAGCCTGGGCCTGTTTCTTGTGTATACCTGAATGCCTCCTGTGGCATTTCCTGCATCCCACTGAGCACCGGCTCCACCTCAGCACCCAGAACAGAAACCTCACCGTACCAAGTTGGCACAGGTTAGACCACTGCTCCACAGCCCCCATGTACCCAAACCATCTGTAGCAGTTATAAGGTCTTGGTACTGCATCCTGGAAACTATACAACATCTGTGGTACTCTGCATCGGTTTTGCCCAAGGCTATCCCCTTTGGGCCCTGAGTTTCTGAACAGAATACATGTTTACACATACCTGTGTGGTTTTTCTTCCATGTGGTTCACTCTCTCCCAGCACAGGGCTCCAAACAGGATGAGCTCTCATGACTCAGAATCCCTCCTCCCTCAGACTCCTCCTCCTGACCCAGGCTATGAAGGTCCCAGCCCTACCGTCTTGTCCTCCACTCTCCTCAGACTTCTGCCAGCCGCAGACTTCTAACCTTCTCTGATATTTGTGACTATTATGACTAGCTTTGGTGGGTGACCAAGGAGTCAAGAGTTCAGCCATCCAGCACTGGGTGCCATTGGAAACCGCTGTCACCTAGCAGACCCTGAGCCAGCACCAACAAGAGGATCCTGGGTAGGGAACTCTGGGTCTGCTTCATTTCCAGCCTCCACTTCCCAGGGTAGCCACATCCTAAGAAAGGACACTCCAGGTCGTCACAGGAAGCTGCAGTGAGAGCACCCTCACAAGAAACGATAGGCATCTCCGACTGGTGCAGACCAAATCCCAATGGGCCTTTGCACCTTAAGAACTGGTGCCTACTCCTGTTCCTTCTCTCCAGCCAGGTTCCTTAAACCTCCTGCTGTTTGCTCCATGGCCACTCTCCTCCTGCCACCCTCTGGGCTCCATCTCACCCTCCCACTCCACCCCCTTGGGCACTGCCCACCTCCTAGCCCTGGCTGAAGTAACCAGGGCACCGAGGACACCTGCTGGTAAGAAAAGCAAACAGAGCTACTCCCTGAGTTGGGGCCATGAGTGGCTCACATTCCTCTTTCCTGGGCTGTCAGTTTCTCAACATCTGCCAAATTTCTCTCTCTTGTATTGAGGTTTTTTAAATCCCCGTTCAGTAAACACACATGACTTCCACACGTGTACAAACACACACAGGCGTCTCATCCAGAAGCTTTACAGCTCCTCTGCAGACAGCAGCCTCCTGGGAAGACACACCCAGACACACACATCCCGGCTGCCCCCACAGTCATCCCTCCCACCTACACCTCCATTGTACACAGATGCACAGGGCCATCCAGAGCCTTGACCCTGCCCTCCCACTAGCCTGGGAGGCCCCACTTTATACACATGAATGTGTCTCCTGTGTAACACGAGTCCACATTACCCCAAAGTCCACATAAATAGGAATATATATGTGTTGCCCACCCTTCATGTGGGTCATGTGTGTGCAGTAGACTGAAGGGCCTAGGCAGCAAGAAGCTGTACCTCGCCTGGACTTCCTAAATCTTGACAGACATGAACTTGGGGCAGGTACTCTGCTTCTTAGAGCTGGAAAGACTGAACTGGAGACATGTCATAAGGAGCTAGGAAAAGCAACAAGACATACCCAGACTCAGCAGATGGTAAGGGCTCTAAAGAGAGAGTCATTCTGTCCCTTCATGGCACCTGTGTGCTCAGTTACCTCTATGGCCACATGTGTGAGAACACATTTCCCTGGGTTTCACAATGCAGTTCCCAGTTAATATCCATTAAGGACATGTTGGGAGTTCAGCATACAGTTTGGCTCCAGAGCTCCTAGCCTCTTGAAGTGCCTGGCTATTACCAGAATATCTGTCTCCATTCCCACCCACCTACCCATCCACAGCTGCAATGGCTGACCTCCGTGGTGAACCCTGGGGCACCCTGCTATGTGGCCACCACCAGCCCCCCTCCGTGGAACTCCTATTCCAGTTCAACCCCTCCAGAGCAGACCCAGCAAGCATTTGGACTTACTGTGCTCCGCCAGCCCCTGGATCATGTCGAATTTATGGATCTCTTTGGCATAGTATTCCGACTCAGTGTTTTCCTGAGTGCAGCCTTCCTCCTTCTCCCCGTGCATCTCTTCCAGCAATTCCCGAGTGCTGTTGTAAAGTGCCAGGACCTGATAGGGGACGTGGCTCATCACCGATGGCTCAGGGGGGCTGGTGAGCCTGAGCTTGCTCAAGATCTGTCCCCTAATGGCTTCCACCCTCTTCTTCTTGATGTGGCCGAAGTCCAAGGTGGTGCAAGTGGACAGAGAGAGGCTGACTGTGGCCAAGTTCAGTAGGGCCAGGACCACCAGAGCCCTTTGCAAGTGCATCTTCATGTGCGAGCCTGGGAGAGAGGCCAGGGGGGCGGCAGGGCCTGGCGAGGAGGAGACCCCAGCAGAAAGAGGGAGGAAAACCAGGCGGCCTCCCCAGATCCCAAAGACTGAGGCTTGGCAAGAGGGTGCATGAACTCACTGCACTGCGAGAACTTCAAGACTTCCAGGAAGCGCTGGCAACCCCGGGCCGAAGAAGCGGACTGTGTGCCGCGTAGCGCTGGGATTCTTGTCCATGTGTCTAAACAGGTTCTGCTGGGCTCTGACTCCCAGCAGGCCAGGTGGAGGGCAAGCAGAGGGCTGGGAGGGGTGGCAAGGCAGCTGGGAGTGGGAAGAGAGCTGGAGTTTTTCCTTAGGTAAAAATAAATAGAGCCGATATCTGATATTGCCAAACGCTGCTTGGCAATGAGGAGAAAGTGGGTATTTTAAAGAAGATGCAGAAAGGCCATGGCTGGGTCCCCCAAATCACAAACTTTGCCTTGTCCTGAAGGAGAATAAGAGAATGCAAAAGAAAAGGAAAAAAAAAAAAGAGAGAGAGAGATTGCTTTAAAAAAAATCACCAGTGAATATGTGGGGAGCAAGGCTGGGCAGCGGCTGGCCAGCTAGATGTGGGGGTAGTGCAGGACACACTTGTCTCTCGGACACGCCATTCATGCTTTCCCTTTTGTTTACACTTCCTCGGGGGCTTTCTAAATGACTTTGTTCACGCTGCCTCTCCTCTTCATTGGCTGGGATGTGGAATTATGTGCAACTGGCAGGCAGGGAGGACAGGCCTCTGGAGAGCAGCCCCGATAATCCACTTGGACCCACGGTCATCAGCATCTCAGCTTGTCTTCTCCCTCGGCCATGGCTTCTGTCCCCGGCTTCTCTTAAAAAAAGAAAAAATCAAAAGGAAAAGAAAATAGAAGCCGATTCACCGCAGCCTACGCCGGAATGCCTTACTCCTTCCTCCGCAAGCCTCTTCCCGTCTCGCCTCTTTGGGGCTCAGTCCCTTACACTTGGCCCTCCGCTTCCCTCCCTTTCTCTCTCCACTTCTCTCTCTCCCTCTCGCTCTTCTCCCTCTCTCTCTCACACACACATGCACACACACTGCTTTCTCTATTTCTCTCTGCTGAAATTTTATACCTCCCTCCCATGACGTCTCGGCCTGGGGTGGGGGAGGGAGGGAGGGACCAGCGCACGCAGCCTCTTTTGCTGCACGGTTTTAATGTTTTAAACAGGCACAGGAAAAGCCGAGCCTATTTGAAAAATACTTTGCGAGTCCTCTCATTCGACGTGGTAACTGAACTCCCCCCCCCCCCTTTGGAGTCAGTCCTGCTACACGTTGGTGTTTTTTTCTGAAAAGTTCCCCCCGGCGCCCCCCC